GATGAGAACTCCAGGTATTTCGCAGGAAGGAGAGGTAATATGGTGAATTCAAAGATGTCATGAAACTGCAAGGGCATAGTCCAGATTTCTAAGGACACGGCCAGGAGTTGCGTTGATATCGGACAGCCCTAAAAGATCCCAGTTGATATTTCCCACGCTCCTCCAAGGACAGTTTTACATCGATTTCCCCCAACAATTACCATCTAGGACATTGTGGCTGAAACTGTACGTAAAGAACTTATTTCTGCGTCGCTGGAATTATTTTTCTCGCTTGGAAATCGTTTAAAGACGGACTTTAAGAAGATTTTGTTTTCCAACCAATTCCGCCGAAACCGAACGCAACCTCTTCAAACCAACAAATTGGCGGCCTAGTAACAGAAATCGTCAAGATCCATATATTCTCGAGACCTTCCCAATATTGAATACATTTTTACACATACATTTAAAGTGCTTATTAACAAATAGCTACATTATTTGTTAAGTTTACTCTAATTACTTGTCGTAAGTCATAGTCTGAAAATCATATAAAATAGTTTTTTTCTGAACGTAATAATTAATACAGTTTGTTAAACAATTTTTAAGTGTTTTTTTAACAACCAGCTGCGATAAAATACTAGGCTGAGTTCTTCTAGACCTTCTTAAATTTAAACCATATTTCCCTCAAAATATGAGAACAAAAATTACAGCTCATCGCAGGGTATCTACCCCCAGACGCAAGCGCTGCCTGACTAGACCTAGCAGTCAAAGCCTGGATGTTAACATGCAGCCCATAGTCAAATCTAAGCAACTCGATTTATCTGCATTACAGAACTGTACTGACTTCATGATGAAAGTTTGGGTTCTATTTATCAATACTAGGCAATCTGTTTGATGGTAAATTATCAGATGTGCCCTCACAAGATTGTAAAATTTTAGACACCCTCGTCCATCTAATAACCACGGAAGCTTTTGATAGACAAAAGCGAAGCTATAACTTTATACTCAAAAATGCCTCCACACTAAGTCGCCCTTTTGATATTGCAAAAGATTTTCTAT